AGACACGTGCCCTAGTGTATGCAGAGATTCCCCGGATAGCAGCACTGGATAGAGAGGATAGACATTTTTCCTCGCTATCGCTTTTCCTCTGACTCGTTTATCTCTTCTCTTTTCTCTCATTGAGTTCATTCCTTACTCCACAATCCTCTCGCTTCTTTCTCTCGCTCCTCTTCTATCTCTCTCTATCTCTCTCTGTCGCTCTCGATCTTCTACCCTTCTCTCTCTTCCCACTGTTCTCTGTCGCTTTTGACGTAGGCAACCTGCTGCCCACCTACAATAATCGAACTCGTTACGTTCGATAAATTCCCTGCTGATATTAAACGTCATCTTCGTTACGTCAACCTTCGCGGCATCTTCTCGCAGACGATCGCTCAAGTCGGGCGCTCGTAGATTGACAATATCGACGCAGCCGTCCACTCTGATCCGTGAGCTATAAACAGTCTTGGAAATAACGGCAAAAACCCAGCCACTGATGTATTTCTACAATAGGACCTATAGTAAAATACATGACGATTAACCAGCTCTAACGCTATAATATATTATAACCTATAGAAAATCATAATGCTTAGTCAGTCCGGTAAAGATTGCCAGTCTGGGCTGGGGGAACGCGGGCTGCTATTTCTAATACTGCTCTATAATGATAGACAGATCGACCGCAGCGTTCCATATGATCAGGAGTTAATAATGACAACATTTGTCATTATTAACTCCTGATTATGATATGGGATAATGGGGGATATGGAATATATGGATAACGCATAACGGGCTACATATAATCAGGAGTTAATGAAGGACAAATTCTTTTTTTCTTCATTAACTCCTGATATAATAAGATGTGAGCGCTGGTGATGACGAAGCGTGTGGGCGCGGCGGCGGCGGTGGCGGCGCTGACGCGCGCTGCCTTGTAATGCGGCTAGTTTAGCGAGCCTGCTGCTGCTGTGATGCTGGTGCCGCGCGTCGCGGATTCCGCGCCGCTAAGCAAACAAACGGGCGCGCATTCCTCGCGGCCTTCGCTCGTCGGCTGCTCGGCGCGGCTACCACATCGCAGCGCGCCGTACAGAGACAGCGCTCAAGCCTCGCTGTCTGGCAACCAGCCGTGATGATAAGATGATGATAAGGACGACGACGACAATGATGACGATGATGATGATTGATGATGGTGATGGTGGTGATGATGATGTTGATGATAAAGAAGAAGATGATGATGATGATGATTGGTGATGGTGATGGTGATGGTGAGATGAACGATGATGATGTTGACGATGATGATGATGAGGATGATTGATGATGACGATAATGATGACAACGACGACGAAGATACCAATAATTATGCCTGAGATTATCTATATTATTGATATGCTAATTATGAATAAATGAGCAAACGATAATGAGGATATGATAAATGGTCATCGTTCGGGTCAACGTTGTGACATAGAGTGTGCATGTCTACAGACGCAGAGTGAGTGAGAGGTGCAAAGAAGAAGGAAGGAACGAGAGAGCGAGAGTGAGAGAGATCGAGAGATCGAGCAGATCGAGAGGAGAGAGAGGGGGGGGGAGAGTGTGTGTGAGCGACGAGCGAGCGAGCGTGCAAGCGTGTCGTGCGTGTGCGTGCGTCTGCGTGTGTGGGTCGTGTGCCGTGTGTGTGTGTCGTGTGTGTGCCGCGACGACCAAGCGAGAGAAAAAGATGGAGAGGCGTGTAAACGAGAGTGAGAGCGAGCGCATAGTAAAACGTTGTGATAAAGGGCATCACGGCGCTGCCTGCGCACACACAGTAGCTGCTGATATGCTGCGAGCGTGCGTGCGTGCCTAGTCTGTCTGTGCACTGTACCGAACCTTTGGATGTCGAGAGATAACCGTTGCGTCAGTAGGATGCATGGCGTTAGTATCGAGGTGTGCTGGCGGTGCCAGTGAGTTTATATCAAGTCAAGAGCGTATAAAGAAGGAAAGACCGCTCTTTATACGCTCTTGATCAGTATATATATTTGCGTGTGTTTGCGTGTGCGTGTGCGTGTGCGTTTGCGTGTGCGTGTGCGTGTGCATGTGTGTGTGTGTGTGTGTTGTGTGTGTGTGTGTGTGGTGTGTGTGTGTGTGTGTGTGTGTGTGTGTGTGTGTGTGTGTGTGTGTGTGTGACGTGTGTGCGCGCGTGCGTGTGGTTTTGTGTGTACATGTCTGTGATTAGTAGAAAAGGCTCCGATAGCGCACTCGTGTGCTAACTCGCGAGTGAGCTAGTGAAAGAAGGGGTAGAGAGCGGAGATAGAGAGTGAACGGGAACGATAGAAAGTAAGCGAGAGAGATAGAAGAAAAGCTCTCTCGCTCTCTCGCTCTCTCTCTCTCTCTCTCTCTCTCTCTCTCTCTCTCTCTCTCTCTCTCTCTTTCTTTCTTTCTCCCCTCTCTCTTTGTCTCTCTCTCTCTCTCTCTCTCTCTCTCTCTCTCTCTCTCTCTCTTTCTCGCGCGATTTCTCTATCTCTATCTATATCTTGCTCTCTCCTTCTTTTTCTTGTTTTTGCTCTCTCTCCCTCTCTCCCCCATTCTTCCTCTCTCTCCCCCATTCTTTCTCTCTCATTCTCTCGTTCTCTTCCCCCTCTCACTTTCTCTACGTATTGCTCACCTTCGTTGTCCCTTTATATACTCCCCTTACTCCCGCTCTCTTACGTAAAGCGCATCTCGACAAGATAAGATGTCAGAACGAACTTGTGAGATGACATCGCCAGCACTGATTGCCGTGCTGATGTGACGTCACGCCCCCCCCCCCGCATGGGTGCATTCGCCGGACGTAGCAGCTCGAGTGAGACATCAAGCGGCAAAAAGCATGTGCAGTGCACACCGCGCACGTCAGTACAGACGAGTGGTGTCACGGGCAATCGACCCATTCACATCGCATCTTTACCGCGAGAGATCGCGCGTGCGGTTTTTGTCGACGTATTTCCGAGTGGCGGGCAAGCGAGCACAACCGAAATCTAATGCGGTATAGTAGGCGACTTTGCGCCAGCGAGCGCCGTATCAACAGTGAGTAGTGAGTTACGAAGCCCAGAGATATCCGATTGCTTTTAAAAGTCAGATGACTTTTGCGTGACGATGATGATTGAGTTGCAGTGAGCAGGCCTGTGGAATTCTTACCAGTCACTTTAAATTTTATCACCCTCCTGAAAATTCAGTTAGAGGAAGCTTGCAGTGCACACAACGTACAATTCAAACTTTTCCACGCTCTACATCAATGCGGTCACATTTGTAATTATGTTTGTTCGCTGGCGGGAGAGCGGACGCGGGGAGACGGCGGGACGGCGCCCGCTATAGCTGCCGGCAGACGGGCGACGCTGCGGCAGCAGGAATGTAGTGCGATGCAGCAGCAGTAGCTGCACAGTAGCTGCACAGTAGCTGCAACAGTAGCTGCAACAGTTATCTGCAGTAATTGTAGTAGCCGCAGCAACAACAGCAACAGTAGCAGCAAAAGTTGCGGCAGCGGCAGCAGGAGTAATAGTAGTCGCAGCAACAAAAGCAACAGTAGCAGCAAAAGTTGCGGCAGCGGCAGCAGTTACGGTACTAGCAGTAGTAGCCGCTGCAACGGTATCTGCAGTAACTGTAGTAGCGGCAGCGTCAGCATGAGTAGTAGTAGCGGCAGCGGCAGCGGCAGTAGCAACAGTAGCAGCAACAGTTGCGGCAGTAGTAGTAGTAGTACTAGTAGTAGTTGCGACAGCAACAGCAACGGAAAACCAACAGGCTTTCATCGCTAGATGAGCGCGGCGCGAATGATAGAGCTGATAGCATTACTGAAAATTCACTCACCGCGTAGACTTCGGAGAAGTAGGGGAGGGAGGGAGGGAGGGAGGGAGGGAGAGAACACACACACACACACACACACACACACACACACATGCACACGCACACGCACACGCAAACGCACACGCACACGCACACGCAAACACACGCAAATATATATACTTGATCAAGAGCGTATAAAGAAGGGTCTTTCCTTCTTTATACGCTCTTGACTTGATATAACTCACTGGCAGCCGCCAGCACACCTCGATACTAACGCCATGCATCCTACTGACGCAACGGTTATCTCTCGACATCCAAAGGTTCGTACAGTGCACAGACAGACTAGAGCACGCACGCACGTACGCAGCATATCAGCAGCTACTGTGTGGCGACAGGCGCCGTGATGCCCTTTACACAACGTTTTACTATCGCTCGCTCTCACTCTCGTTTACACGCTCTCTCCATCTTTCCCTCCCTCTTCTCTCGCTGTCGCTCTCGCT